ATCATTGCTTCATTATTTGAAATGTGCATATGTCACTCTAATTATTCTTCTCTCCCTGCAGTTATTTTACTGATTTTATTTATTTTTATTATCATCATGTTGCTAAGGGTTTTTGTATTATTGTTATTCATCATGGAATAATTTTAAAAAGAACAAAATAAAGTATAGATATGGATCAGAAATGCAATCCACTGATGTAGCAGGACATTTCTATTTTTAAAAAAGTTTCTAAAATAAACTTTCTGGCATAACAATTGGTGAATTTAGAACAATTATTGCAAAATCAAATCTTTCGAATTTCTGAGAATGACATTATCACAGAGATTATCTTACTACTTTGTTAAGAATATTGTATGTGCAATTTTAGCAGTATTTGTTGCTCTTCTAATTGATTAAAGAATTAAAAAAAGAATGGGAGACATAGGGTTGCACTGGCCAATGGATTAAAATACTAATCAATGAAAACGTTGTTTCAGAAGAGACTATCAACAAAATGTTGTGATGAAAGACAGAGAATAAGTATAATGAGGCTGTGAGATATATAGAGGATGTTTAGTTCAGCACATATTTACTGACTCAGCATATCCACTCAAATTCATATTATGTATTGTGCAAATAGATTCTACCACATTACACAGAAAAGCACGTATCAATATTAGCTAACATCACTCAAGATTGTCAATAAAGTTTTCCTGAGTCAAACAATATTGTATTGTACTTTGCAGGCAACCAATATAATTATTACATTATTTAAAATATTTGCATTCTTTAGCAAAAGTCTACCATGCATTCAGTATGTTACAAAAAATGTTCAATTCACTTTCATCTTTAAACGGATTTTGTTATATTACATTATCTGAATGCATTTGACATTCCCCGCATCTTGAGGTTTTATACTAATACATTTTGAAAGGAAATAGCTATGATTCATGTTCAATGGTATCTTCAGGGTTTTTTTCCTTCTATTCTGTATGTATATGCTCTAATATTTTCCATTAATTTCCAATATTCCAATATAAAGTATTGCTGAGAAATTTTTCTGCAAAATTGGAGTTTCTAGTGGTCTCTATTTCCTCATTTAAAATAGTATTATACAAGGAAATAGAGACATCACTAGAAACTCCAATTTTGCAGAAAAATTCCTCACTTCCACTACTTTATTTGGCCAATTTATGCACAGAATTAACTTTCTTTTCTTAGAATAAAAAGTTTAAAAAGCAGTTAGAAAATGATAATGCATTTGAGAACAAGTTATTTCCTTGTTTGTGTTATTAAACTTGAAATAAATTAATATATAACAAAATTATGGTAAATATTCTTATGATGGGAGGAGGTTGTATCCTTTCAATTATTTTTTAATGCTAATGATCATAGCAGTAATTCAATGTGATTACTGGGGGGGAAAGGCTACAATATTCAGCCACTTTTCTATATTTTTGCAAGGTTTGGGGAAGATTAAAGGCTTAACAAAGCTATTTCATTTTCTTTTACATAGAAAAATGAAACTATCATAATTTGCCATTTGGCCATTGAATGTTAGGACTATAATCTGTAAATAAGAATCCATAAAATAGGGCTGCATGCCACATAGCTTTTTCTCCCCTTCCTAGGACATTCAAGTTGATGGTTTAACAAAAAATGGAACTGAAGATTTCATGAACTTTTCAAAATAGCCATTTCACTATAAAATGTATCTGGTTTAATCATACCAACACTCGATAATCAAAGGCTGATTCATCAAGTCCCAACATACTTATCTAACTTATATAGCTGCTCGTGTCACAAGCAAGTGACTCTGGGCAGAGCATTCCCTTCTCTCTTTCTTAATAGCTTTCGGGGCAGTACAGTACTGTATGTATCGGTGTGAGAGTGAATGTGCACACGCTCATGTGTGTACAGGCAATCCTTGCTGACTGACCATTTGTTCAGCATCTATTTGAAGTTGTGGCTGTTGCAGTGTCCCCATGTCACATAATCATAACTAGCATGCTAAGTCAAGAACATAACAGAATAACATAAATGGAAGGGACCTTAGTCCAACCCCCTGCTCAAGCAGGAAACCCTATACCAGGGGTGTCAAACTGCCGGCCCGCAGGCTGGTTGCATCATGCAGAGGCCACGCTCACCCCAGCTCCGGCAATGTGAAAAAAGTCACGATACGTCATGACACGTGACGTGACGAGTTTGACACCCGTGCCCTATACCATCTCAGACTAATGATTGTCCAATCTCTTCTTAAAAAACTTCCAGTGATGGAGCACCCACAACTTTTGGAGGCAAGTTGTTCCACTGTAATTGTTCTGTCAGGAAATTTCACCTTAGTTTTAGGTTGCTTCTCTCCTTGATTGGTTTTTCATCCATTGCTCCTTGTCTTGTCCTCAGGTGCTTTGGAGAATAGATTGATCCCCTCTTCTTTGTGGCAGGCCCTTAGATATTGGAACACTGCTATTATATCACCCCTAATTCTTCTTTTCATTAAAGTAGACATACCCGATTCCTGCAACCATTCTTCATATGTTTTAGCCTATGTCCACACGTATCTCCTGTCCCCTAATCATCCTCGTTGCTCTTCTCTGAAATCTTGCTAAAGTCTTAATGTCTTTTTTATATCATAGCGACCAAAACTGAATGCAATATTCCAAGTGTGGTCTTACCAAGGCACTGTAAAGGGGTACTAACACTTCGCGTGATCTTGATTCTATTCCGTTGTCATTACATTGCATTGCAATCTCCTGAAGTCACATCATCACTATCTGAGAGCTTCCCAGCCAGATTTCCATCAGCAAAGTCAATGGGGAATCTAGCAGGAAGTTGTATGTCGCAGTTATGTGACATTGTGCTTAATAACCCACACTTAACAATCACAGCCAGAACCGCCATCAGAAGTCAGGCATGGTCACATGAGTTTTCATTTTATAATCATATCACTTAACAAAGGAATTGACAATCCCAATTGTAGTTGGTTAGTGAGGACAGATTTGTATCCAACTCTTTTAATATATAGTTCAAGACTTGGAACATACTTAATGCTCTTGTCTCCATTGTTCCCCACAACAACCACCCTGTGAAGTGGATTGGGCTCAGAAGGAGTGACTGGCCCAAGATCACCCAACTTTTATTCCTAAGGGAAGCCTAGACTCAGTCTCCTGGTTTCTAGGCCAGCACGTTCACCACTACACCAAGTTATTCATATCAGGATTTTTAAAAATGTGTTCTGAGGAACCCTAGGATTCTTCAGATTATGATGGGGTTTTGTGTAAGCAGAGGGTTAAAAAAAACAAATACACTTGAATATAATCAATTTTCTGTCACTAGAGTTTTGTCTTTTAATCAGAGGGTCCAGGATGTTTTTAACTAACAAGGTTGCAATTTGAAAAAGTTTGAAAACCACATATTTCTATGATAAAATCTAGAGGATAAAATACCGTATATTTATTACAACATTTCTATCTTTTTCATGGAAGTTGGAATAATTTATCACATTTACTTTACAATATACAAAATAATAATGGGACTAATAAATATTTGGCTAATCCAAATATCTTTGCATTAAATATTTTTTTATTATTAATTTTGGTTAAGCTAATAAAATTTAATTATATTTAATCCCTCTCTCTCTCTCTCCCCATTTAATGTACTAAATTTAATTTATCATTCACTGAAAATGCAACTGAAGAATGGAATTAGGATTCAGTTGTAAATGAGGCAAGGATAAGATTATTAACTCACTTAAAATGTTGCAGGATGTTTGAAATCAGGCATTTTATTTTTATTATTTTAAGATATTGTTATGCAAATAGTTATTAATAGCCTTGTGTATCATCTCCAAATAAGATAATGGAAAGTGTAAGATCATGCTTGACAGCTGTTATTCATGCTGCAGTACAATTACAGTCTAGATATCATGGTTACATCTATATTTCAATTTATTGTTGTAAATAGATGATAGATAGATAGATAGATAGATAGATAGATAGATAGATAGATAGATAGATAGATAGATGATAGATAGATAGATAGATATAAATAGATAGATAACAGAAACATGCATCTATATAGTCTTATGTACGTGTTGCTTAATGAATTTATTTAAGAATACTACTTACAAAATATTAGATTAGAAAAAGGATGGGAGACATATTTTATTGAACAATATATATTCAACCCTTTTAATGCATATGGACCAGTTACAATATTTAAAGTCAGTACATATTGATTAATGAAAGTATACCATTATATAAAAAAGATATCCTATGTCAAGGTTGTTGGAGAATGTCCAAGTTTCTACAAATTCATTCTAGATCCTTTTCTTCACATTTCATCAAACAATCAATCAATAAAAAGATATTCATTCAAGACTCTGTAACTGGCTAACAAATATCATTTTGCAAAAGTAACACAAGAAACCATGACAAAATGCAGAAATGTCACGCATTTAAAGAGATTTCCAAATGGACTAAATTATCCAGGTCAGCTACTAAACAAACTCTAGCTCTAAACATGGCTTCAACAAAATTGGAACCTACATACATTGAAGGCTGATAATTTTCCTCTGAACTAAAATTGTTATACAATTTTTAATAAGTGAAATTAAATATGGGATAAGGAAAGAGTTTCTCTGGTTTTAAAAATAGTTCTGATTTTATTATATTTTTATTGTTTTTAGGGTTCTTTCTCACATTATTCTAATAACTTAATTATTTCAAAATGTAGTGTGGAACATGATGCATCAGATAGAAAGTTAGACTAAAAACAGATAAATTCAAGCTTAGATCCAGGCTCAGCTATGAAAACCTATTGAATAATTTCAGGCCAATCACCTCCTTCAGTTCTATCTACATCATGTGATTAAACTGTATTTGTTGTTGAAGGGGAAAACTGAATAAAAGAATATTATGTTGGTTATCTTGAGCTCTCAGGTGACAGATGGAATAAAAATCAATTGAAATACATAAAATAGAGCAAAAAAAAAATTTAAATTGGATAACCAAAGCACTGACCTGTACAGGCTCAGGAGTAAGTTGGACAACATGCTGCATACGTTCGCTGTGATGATGCCGAGATTCTTCTTCATAGATGAGATCCCTCTCATGTTGAGGAAGATTCAGAAATCGCCGAATGGTGCACAGATTTTCCCAAAGTGTTCGATTTTCAGGGCTTGGGTTTTCTTTCCAACGCAACAGCTCACACAGCCAACCCTGCAAAGAAAGTAAATAAATAAATATATCAATACACATGCACTGTTAAGCAGTAATATAGTAGTTCAATAGCAATTCTGAGTGTTATTTAAAAACAGTTTTTTCCAGATTGTTTACTACAATGTAGGTAACTAATTTTAGTGTTCTGAGATGGGAGAAGGGGAAATTTAATCTCATATTTTTGCAGTAATTATGAAAGAAAAGATATATGCTAACATAACAGAATTTGGAACCAAGGTAGGAAGACTTTGAACAATGGGAGTGGGGGCAAAAACAAAAAGTATATCTCATTGCTAATTGCCAGGTGTCCAGTGCCACAGATATACCTTATTGTTAGGCTCTTTACATATTTTTTTTCTTCACATTCTCAATAATATCTTCTTTTAATATTATAGTATATTTATGGGCTGTCAACCTATGCCTTCCATGGTCCCTGTACTAAGTATATATACAGTATTCATAAACCTGAAACTCTGACAGATGAAGGCTCTCTATAGGGAAGAAAACTTCCCTTCAGCTTCAAACTTCCTCCAAGGCATCCTTCCAGCCTCACTTACCAAATCTCTTGCTTTTAAGTTCCCTCCCCATTCTGAAATATACAATAAATTGGGAGGATGTACCTATTATCATGCTTTGCCTAATGGTTCTAATACCCAGTCATGATATCCAGACCTGCTAAAACCTGGGATAAAAATAGCTTAAATTAATTAAAGAAATGTGACAAATTAGCAGGGCACAAGGGTGAAACACAGAATTCACCTAGCATTTTAGCAATAGCATAAAACAACATGGAACCCATGCAAGCAATACCTACAAATATTTTAAAATGTGATGTTGACTCATGGTATCAGTCACAGGATCACTACAGCCTGCAATTGATCTAGAACAGGGGTATCTAACTGCCAGCCCATGGGCCTGTTGCATCGTGCGGAGGCCATGCCACCCCAGCTTTGGCAATGTGAAAAAGTCACGATACGTCGTGACACGTCATGTGATGCAGCGGGTTTGACACCCGTGATCTAGAAAAAAGGCTAATAATGTAATAAAAGGAAGGAATATAAAGGTTGTTTATTTGATCAAAGTTAAAATATATATGTTGATATCTTTGATAACTCTTAATGGATATTTTGCTGACCAGGACTGAATGAGGAGACATCAAGGATTTGTTTATAGATAAGATCTGAGATATGGAAAGAAAGAGATCATTTGTTGTATTTTAAGAGAATGTGATAAGTTACTAAAAGTGTTTATACTTATTGTGATAAAGAGGGAAGCCACTTCTTTATATATTTCTTTTTCTTTAATATATCTTTATTTTTTCTTTAATATATCTTTATTTTTTCTTTAATGTATCTTTACTTTTTCTTTCTTTTCTATTTTACTTCTATTTTCTCTGTACTTTCTATTTCTTCTTTTAGTTTTTAAGTTTGTATTAGTTTTTTATATTTTTAATTGTAATGCTAACAACTGCATAATATCATGTGATTATTTGCCTAACTCTCCAGTGCATCTTCTGTCTTTATCTCCCTCCCCCCCCAAAAAAAAAGAAGAAAGAAAAGCAAGATTTGATTATCTCCGCTGCATCAGCCAAGACAGCCATACCAGCTGTTCTCATTGTGCAGCCTCTTCCTCACGGCCTACATGTTAATAACCTGATCATTCCATTTTCTCCTTCAACTGCCGGCTGCAGCACAGTGAGGAGACAAAAAGCCAGGCCCATCTGCAGCAGCTGTAGGCACTGAACTGTGAAGCCACGGGGGATTTATAAACTAATCTGTAACACAACACTGCCTTGTTTTTACAAGTGAGAGGCCACAGTTGTGCAGACCTGATCTTTTCTTGCAATAGCTAGGAGTGGTGGGAAATGAAAAGAAGATATCTAATCATTTACTTGGAATAAATATCTGCATTTACTATTCTACATGGTATGTGGCTAACCACAGAATCAGGTGATGGTTGACTCCCACATTCTCTTCTCCTCACACAAAATCCCATGTCTCTTTAATAATAAAGCAACAAGCAAACAGACTTTTAAAACTCTCAGCTCTAAAGTATTTTTTCAGGGGTCCTTCCATACAAAAGATTTTTTTTTTTTTAAATGTAAAATAGAACATGGAAGGGAGGAATACGTCTTCCTGCATTCTTTTTACTGATTCCCACTGAATACACACAAACTATTTGAACAAGTATGGCTTCAACACATTCCCTTGGAAAACTGAGGCCCCAGACTTGGTTTCAGTTTCTGCTTTTTTCGTATTTTTTCAAAGGCTAAGAAACACCCTACAATTGCTCCAAGTTTTGAGTGATCTTGATATCTTCTGGCCTGAGGTTGCTGTTGCCTTTTCAGAACGTTAAGCTTGAAAAGAGAGATGTGACAGATGACTTCTCTCCTCTTCCTTATGATCTTGGAATGTTTCATGCAACATTCAGCTGCATTTGATTGATATCTACTCCTATAATCTACACTCATTACCAGCACTTAGCTTGACACTACAGGTCTCATTATGGACGGTGTGCTCTCTGCCATTATACTTTAAGTAGCATCATTTTAATTTGCCTGGCACCTTGCAAGGTCCTGACCATGAAGCTATTAAGAAATGAACTAGACTGCCATGTGACCATGTGTGCAACACATGAGCAAACCAAATTAATTTCTGGCACAGGAAGTTAGCAGGCAAAGGACCCATCCTTAGGACACCAGAAAATGACTTGATTCCCCTGTGGAAATACGCTAATGGCATATTTAGCAAAGCTTAGGTCTGAAGGTAAAGCACATTCTTGTTATTTAGGGAAAGAGAAATCCAGTTTCCCCAGAAACTGTTTGCTTGACTGATCAGATTAAGGGATCTAGTCTTCTACAGCCTGGGCATGCATGTACACAGATCACAGCAGGACCCAAGAAATCTATGATATTTCATAGCCTCTGACATATTGCACCATGTATACCCAGCTGCTACAATAATTAGCTTATGAATGTATCAGCTGGTTCTGCAATTTTTATAAATGATAACTAACCTACAGAGCAGAAAGATTTTCATAAGCCTAATATTAGCAAGAAATTGCTTAAACCCTCTTAACTCTAAAATGTTATTGTGCTAAATGCCCTCTTCATGCTTGCAATTTTATACCACGGTAGTACTCCCTCCCTCCATATTTATTTGGCATCAACAATGGCAATTCATTTATATTAACTTCTTTCACAAAAAGCTATTATCTAGCTTCTTTTTCACAAGCTATTTGATATTTTTCTTCAACAAATCTACCTTTCATTTAAGCTCTCAATCTATTTATTCAAACAGTTTATCACTCACACATTCAGGATCATATATATTAACAAGCAAAAAGGTTTCAAGTACCATGAGAGGCTACTATTGAAAACATTGTATAATGGAACTACTAACCAAGACACACAATTCCGTACCAAGAAATTACTATCAAGAGGGAAGTTTAATGTGCACTGCAGTGTTTTTTTATTATTACTGAAATAATCTTACTGTGCTATCTGAGAAAGTTTTTCAGTATGTTGCAAAAAAAGTGTAAATGTCAAATAAAACAGTGACAGATGATGACAGTATTCTCTATTGAATAGCACCGTTGCTTCGTGCATGTTCGATGAGAACTCATGAATTATTAATAAATAAACTCCTTTTTATGTTTAAAAAACCTCAAGTAGTTGTGTGATTTATTCAGGGAGGTTATAGCAAAGGGAAACTGAAAATTCCAAAACTGACTTCTGTGTTAAAAACACTGAAACTAAATTTCACATAGATAAAAGTATTGACATAAGACTGATACAAAGGACTACCTGGCTAATATCCATCCTTTCCCCTCCCCCCCCCAGACCATATTATCTGTATTGGGAATAAAAGTAGGTTTAAAACAAGCTAGAAAATGAAACAGGTGGCTGAAAGAATAAAAATAAATAAAACCTGGTGTTTGTTCACTGTACCAGAATTTTTCAACAGTAAATAAAGGGAAGGGGTTACCCCATTCCTTTGCTAATGTAAGTTAAACTACTCCTGTCCAGGTTCAATCCCAGGTTTTTAATTTTAAAACTGTGCAGGAAATTGAGGATCAGAAATCTCTCTTTTATAATGAAAATAAGAGAGAATGCAGTGCAGACATTCTCTTCTACATATCCCTGAACACTGTCTCTTCAAAAATCCACTAATATGTTTAAGATAAAATCGGAATGCTTTCTAAAAATATTATGCCAAAGTGAAGATGTTATGGGACACTTATTTTATTGTTGCTTCTCACTTTATCCATTATAAATAAATGAATCCACTATTGGGAAAGCCTACCATCTGATTCAAAATAGCCAAAAGCCCAACTGTATGTAGAACTGAGTCTCACTGAGCTCAGTAGAATTTACTCATACACGAGTGTGTCTACAATGGCATGTTGATTCAAATCAGTAGCTATACAAAGATACTGCCATGGATGGAAAAAGGAGAATGTATCTTCTAAACTGAAATTTTAAAACTGAAATTTAAAAATCATTTTTAAAAATTTCAAGTCTGCTTTCTGATTAATTTTTGGTCTCTTTTTAATATATATTGATAAGTTAAATATTGAAGCTCTATTTTTAAATCAGTATTGCTTAAAATATCATGCTTATATTGTGGCCATAATACACTGATTAAGATAGGATGGAAAACTCATGGGAAGAAAAAGTTATCCATGTAATCAGAAAATACATTAGGTTGGGTATAGTAGTCCTAACATCTACCAAATTTAATCAGTTTTAATCTAATGTACTGTAATACACTGCCTTAAAGTATTGAGTTAATAATGCTAATACCAGATTATCTATTAAAATAAAATTAAGCAAATGGTAAAATCTGTTTCTGTAACTTATGGAAACATTTCAAGAAGTACATAAAGTACATCAAGCAAATAAAAGTTGTGTTGCCTATACAGTTACGAGATTGCAAAAAACTCAGTTTGTAATTTTTTGGGGACACAATTTTGTCAATAACCACAGTTTCTTGTATTTA